CGAGGACGGGGGAGGGCAGAGTGACCGTCATTGAGATTTTTCTGTGAAAGGGGCTGGGGGGTATTTCGTGATTCTGGAGAGCGGGGTCGTATCTATTCAGAACCATGGAAAAAGTGGTTCTTTGAGTTGCAATTTTTTCTAATAGTAGAAGAACTTCTGGAAATTTTGTCGTTTTAACAATTATTACACCCCTCACAGCTCGTGAAGGAAGAAAACATTTCAGGAAGATCAAGTTGCTCTCAAAATTTCCTTCCAAAGTCCGTCAGCCACTGATAGCTGACATTGTCTGAGGTGAACATCCTCAAATCAGGCAGCGGTTAATTGGCTGACTCGGTTAGATTCGCTTAATGAATAACTTTGCAAAATAAGAATTTCTGCGAGTAATCCTACATTCATAGCGGAATCATCGAAAAATGCTGTCGAAAACGTCATTTGAGAGATTTCAATGTGGACAACACCAGCAGCTGTTAAATTCCGGGCAACTCTTTGATCACTGCAGTAATAATTTTTTACGTGACATTGAGTCGAAACTATTATACCTTGGTCACAATTGTTTACGGCAACAGTCGAAAGTTTGTTGATGAGTGAACTCGTCGGCATCACATCTCGCGGTATTTCATGCGTGTTTTTCGTGAAGGGGGATATCTCATCGCATATCCATCGATTTCTGACTTGTAAACTTCCTTTTCGTTAGTTTTCAAACCCAAATTGGCGATTGAGTGAATTTGGGTTATTGCGTCCGAAAGTGAAAGGTGTGTTAAGGATTGGTAAAACAGTAGTTAAAGAATAAACCATGGCACTAATAATAAGAACCCTCAGAATAACAATGTGCACTGATCATGCGGGCGGGGTTGGCGCCAGGGTCAACCGCGACGTTCACACATTTTCAGAAATTTCGCGACCCCCCTCCCTTAGTGGGGTCTCGATGCGATCCCACCACAACGAGACTCGCGAGGCTCCCCCAACACATCCCCTGCCTAGCCTGCCCCAACCGCCACCCGTCACTTCTTTTGCCATCACTTCTGTTTCCCTAATATCTGATTCTTGAGGCTAGTCGACACACCCCAACTCCGCCCACTTTCCTCCAAAAAGGCGTGAGCGGGGGGGGGGGGGGGGAGGGGCGGGAGTATTACTGTTCACTGTGCAATGAAACGGCTAATTTTCTCTCCTCTCTCGTCCCACCCACCGATCCTAAGCCCTTCAAAATCCCTTAGAAACCCCACCCTCCACCTCCACTCGACAAATTACTAATCCCACTCCACCACCCCTGAATGCGACCCCTTCCCAAAATCAACCACAAATGCACCCCCTCGTTCGAATACTGCCAACGCACGATTGACGCTGGTTGGCGCTCCGTCCATGCGAGATTGTCATCGGTTGGCTCTGTCTATTCACCATATTTATCATGATAAATCAGATTAAAATTGAGCAGCACAGTCCCATTTGAGGGTTTTGAATGAGTTATTCTTTTTTTACGAATCAATCACCACAACCACTTTGGTTTCTGAACGAAATTCTCAACCCTCACTCAATCGCGGTGTGTGCTTTCGAAAGAGGACTCCACGGAGGGTCAACCGTCACGTTGGACCGATTTCAAAACTTTAAGAGCCCTCCCTTTTGGATTGCCTCGGCATGACCACCTCCCTGCACTTATTGTGTACTATTGTATACTGTAGTACCAGAGAAAAGGCTAACAGTACAGGAATAGGTGCAATCTTCAAAAAAAAATGAAATGCAGTTAACTTGAATACTAACACAAGTAATAAACAATGTGAGACTTCAAAATTTATTGCAAAAGACTCAAAACTTTCTACAAAAGAAATTGCAAAATGTGTGTTTGCAAAAGTTTTGCAAAAGTTTAGGCCTTTTTTGGCGAGCTTTCGGCGCTTAGCGCCTTTGTCGAGCCTGAAATGAAAATTAGAAGCTTTTTAAAGTCTGTTAATATATTAAAATATATTAACTGACCCACCTGCTGTCCGCTGTCTTCATACTTGGCTTTTAGAATCACAAAAAATATTTCCAATTGGATACACAAGCAAATAATAAAAGGGAAATCCTCGTAATGATTTGAACAACATTACTAACACAAGTAGTAGAACATAAGCTTCAGTAGTTCAATGATAAACACAATATCGCAAATTGAACTGCCTTCATTAGTAGCTGAACAGGATTGGGATATAGTTTGAATGACGCTGATCGTGAGAGCAAGAAAGATAGTAGGCTTCATGACTTGGCTTTTAGAATCGCAAAAAATATTTCCAATTGGATACACAAGCAAATAATAGAAGAGAAATCGTCGTAATGATTTTGAATTGCAAACGAGTTCATGTCGCTTCTGAGAGCACGAGAGTTCACTGCAAGAGATGAGCGCGTTACCGTCGCGCAGAGTCAACCCTGCGTTGCGCAGTTCTCAACGGCCACGTTGCGCAGTTTCGCCCGATTAGACACGTTCTCTCGCGCGAACATTCACACTCGCATGCTCGAGCCGTCTGCGTCTCCGCCCATACAGCGTGCGTTGAGGATCTCTCAACGTGCCGTTGCGAACTGCGCAACGCAGGGTTGACTCTGCCGCCGCGTTTGCATTGGCAGCCGCAATCTTCCCCTCAGCCTCGACGATAGACCAACATGGACTACTAAGCTTCAATGAGTGCAATTTTGCTAATGTCAATTTGTTTCAAAATTTTGTTTCGTGTGCGGGGCTGCCAGTTTCACAGAACTACCAGCATTATGCAGTATCTTCAGAACCGTTAGTTATGGAGTAGAGAATTAAGAATTCACAGAGCAGCGACCATTTAAAAAACCTAAGTGGATTTGTTTCAGGCTGGACCAGTCAAAGAAGGTGATCCTACTTCTCCCTGGCGACACAACAATGTGAAAGAAGGGCCATTAGCTTCGCACGTGTTTGAGGGATGCTACACTCTTGCTGAGCAGTGGAATGAATGTGTGAGGTACGGAAAACTTCATGATATGTTTATGTTTTTCCTCTGTAAAAGATGAAATGATGCTATTGATCAAACTCCTGTGGGATGCGCCGTGCATTCTGTATACTTGCGCTCATTATTGCACTAGGATTTGAATTTGATTGGTCCACGACTGCGATGACTTGAATTACAGCGGA